ATCTTCAAAAAGGGAGACCCCAACCTAGTTGAAAATTACAGACCAATCTCTTTATGTTGCATCACCTGCAAAGTCATGAAATCAATCATCAACCACTCCATTACCCTCTTCTTAGAGACAAACAACCTACCCTCTAACAGTTTGGTTTCAGGAAGAATTTGTCCTGTAATCTACAATGCTTACACTGCAGAAACATTTGGACTACACAACTCGGCCAGGGTAAAGCAATAGACGCAATTTACATAGACTTCTGCAAAGCCTTTGATTCAGTGGTACACGACAAACTACTGTTAAAACTATGCTCTTACGCCATTTCTGGAGCACTGCACAAATGGATAGCTGCATTCCTGTAAAACAGGCAGCAAGTAGTCAAAATAGGGAATGGCCTATCAAACTCTGCAGCAGTTAACAGTGGTGTCCCCCAAGACAGCATTCTAGGACCCCCTCTCTTTCTAATTTACATAAGTAACCTTTGCAATCATATTATAAGCAGCTGCATCCCCTTTGTTGATGATGTAAAATTATTCAACACCACTGACAATACTGCTGCCCTACAAAGTAATGTTGACTATGTGTCAGAATGGTTGAACAATTGGCAACTTCAAATCTCAACCAACAAATGTTCCGTCTTACACATTGGCAACAAAAATCAGAACACTAAATACAAACTGGGCAGATACGACCTCGTAGACAACCCTCACTCTGTCAAGGACCTAGGAGTACTCATCTCAAACGATCTAAGCCCCAGAGCTCACTGTAGCAGCATTGCCAAAAAGGCATTAAGAGTTGTTATCCTAATCTTGCGAAGCTTCTTCTCCGGTAACATTGTACTGCAAACTAGGGCATACGAAACCTTTGCCAGACCAATTCTCGAATACAGCTCGTCTGCTTGGAATTTGCACTGTATATCGGATATTAATACAATTGAGAGAGTCCAGAGGTATTTCACGAGAAGAGTCCTCCACTCCTCTGCTCACAATAGAATCCTTTATGCCACCAGGCTTGAAATTTTGGGCCTGGACAACCTAGAACTATGCCGCCTTCGGTCCGACCTAAGTTTAGTACGCAAAATTGTCTGCTACAACGTCCTATCTGTCAATGACTACTTCAGCTTCAACCGCAATAATACATGGGCAAACAATAGCTACAAACTCAAAGTAAACCACTCCAAACTCGATTGCAGAAAATACGACTTCAGCAACAGAGTGGTCAATGCCTAGAACTACCCAACTCTGTTTTTACATCCTCAAACCCCCATAACTTTAACCTTAAACTGTCTACCGTGGACCTCACTCCATTCTTAAGAGGTCTGTAAGGTGGCGTGAACCCTACCGTCCCCGTCCTAAAGTTCCCACTTATTCGTACTCATTTATTATGTATATACTTACACCTGTTTATACTTATATGTTTATATGTTATGTTCATACTTCTACTTGTTTTCTCATACATGCTTGACAAACTAAATAAACAAAATAAAAATAAATTTCCGTGCTGTGCCCAGGCCTGAAGCCGGATTGGAGTGGATCTAGATAGTACTGTGGAAGCTGCCGCACCACTACACTTTCAACAACCTTCGCAATAAAACGAAGGTTGGAGACTGGACGATAGTTAGCCAAAACAGCCGGATCCAGAGAGAGCTTCTTCAGGAGGGGCCTCACCACCGCCTCTTTCAAGGCGGCCGGCAGGACCCTCTCACCCAAAGAAGTGTTAACAATCTTCTGGAGCCAGCCTCGTGTCACCTCCCGGGAAGCCAGTACCAACCAGGAGGGACACGGGTCCAATAAACATGTGGTCGCGTTCAGCCGTCCCAGAATCCTGTCCACGTCCTCGGGAGCCACAGGATCGAACTCCACCCAGATAACACTCTCAAGACCTGCCTCAGTCATCCCGTCTGGACTTACCCAGTCAGAGGCCAGCCCTTCCCGAATCAGAGCGATCTTGTCATGCAGATACTGCACAAAATCCTCAGCTCGACCCTGCAAGGGGTCATCCCGCACTCCCAGATGGAGGAGGGAGCGGGTCACCCTAAACAGGGCGGCTGGGCGATTATCTGATGACGCGATAAGGGTGGCAAAATAGCTAGATTTTGCCGCTTTTATCGCCACTAGGTAGGTCTTAATATGAGACCTCACCAGTGTTCGGTTGGATTCGGAACGGCTGGTCCTCCAACTACTCTCCAGGCGTCTTTTCCGGCACTTCATCTCCCTCAGCTCCTCAGAGAACCAAGGAGCTAGGTGAGTTCAGTGCCGGGTCAGAGGCCGCAAAGGCACGACGCGGTCCAAAGCTCCGGTGGCCACACTGTCCCAGGCGGCCACCAGGTCTTCAGCCGAGTCATGAGCCAGAGTCTCAGGAAATGGCCCAAGCTCCATCTGGAACCTATCAGGGTCCATCAGGCACCTGGGGCGGAACCACCTAGTCGGTCCCACCTCCCTGCGGCGGGGTGTAGCGGTTAGAAAGTCAAGTCTAAGGAGGGAATGGTCAGATCATGACAAGGGTTCGATGACTATATCTCCTGTATCAAGACCACTCAACCACTGACCAGAGACAAAAACCAAGTCCAGCGTGTTTCCTCCTGTGTGAGTAGGGCCATGAATTAACTGAGTCAGGTCCATGGCCGTCATGGAAGCCATGAACTCCCGAGCCACCTCAGATGTTTCACCGATGGATGCGCCGCTCCCCCCACGCATGCACCTGCGATCCCTCCCGCGCTCCCCCTGCTTTTGGCACGCAATGGCACAGTACGCCTGGTAGGCCTGTTTTCCAGAAGCTTTCTTGGAGTCTGGGGAGGGTGAAAACAGCCTTCCCCACTCCCCTGGTGACCAGAAACAGCCCGTTTCCCGACTTCCAGTGGGCCCGGAAGGCTAGAAAATCAGCTGGCCGGCGCGCACATGTGTGCTGGAGCTGATCTAGGGCAATGCTCGTGTGCCCACAGATATGGCTCCATGTGCCACCTGTGCCACCTGTGGCACGCGTGCCATAGGTTCGCCATCACGGCCCTATCCCATCCCCCCCCTCTTTAAAACACACAGCTTCATTCATAAGCAAGGAGTATATTTAATAAGAAGATTTCAGGATGCAGTGGGCATGACCTCCCTCATGAGTCCACATTGGCCACTGGAAGGTGGCACACAGACGAGTAGGGAGATGGCAGCCACCTCTGAATCCTTCGCCAGTCATCTTTTGCTTTTCTACATGTCCACCACACGTGGCTGTAGGTGCCCGGTAATTGGTCACATTTCCAGCATTTCGGTGATAAATTTCTATACATTTTGACCAGCGGTGAAATGCTCCCGGTTCGGACCAGATCGCCCAATCCAGTAGCGATGGCAGAGGGTGGTTCGGAGAACCGGGAGCAAAAATCCTTGCTCCCCCACATTGCCCAGCTGAGCCACATGATTATCAAAAGTTTTGTTTTATTTTTAAAAGCATTTTTTCTACAACAGCCGAAAAAGGCTTTTAAAAGTAAAAAAAAAGCCTCTGGTGATTGTGCGACTCAGCTGGGATCATCAGAGGCTTTTAAAAGTATTTTTTCTACAACCTCTTCGGCCGAAGATGTTATAGAAAAAATGTTTTTAAAAGGACAAAAAGCCTCTGCAGATCAGGCAAGTCAGCTGGGATCGTCAGAGGCTTTAAAAGCATTTTTTCTACAACCTCTTCAGCCAAAGAGGTTGTAGAAAAAATGGTTTTAAAAGTAAAAAAAAAAAAAAAAGTTGGCCACGCCCAGTCAGTCATATTAAACCCCCCCACCAAGCCACGCCCACAGAACCGGTAGTAACAAATTTTACATTTCACCACTGATTTTGGCCAATCCTGCGGGTGGTAGATGCCACCTATAAAACATTTTACACAAGTTCTCCTTGTACGCTGTGGCCAGGGTTAATTTCCTATTTCTTTCCCCCAATTTGTCCCACTTTTCCAATTCAATATGGTAGCCAAAATTCTTTGCCCATGCCACCAGTGTCTCTTTAACTCGCTCTTCCTCCCTTTTATAGTCTAATAAATATTTATACGTTGCTTTAATCAGTTTCTCATCTGTCCCCAATAGTAATTTATCTAATATCCTTCAATCTCTATTAATACCCCACGTTTTCACATCTTTGATATAGCATGATTGCATTTGTAAATATGCCACCGTGGAAGAAATGATTGGACAAAGATTGGTGTTCAAACCAGAACAATTTTTTATTAGGAATCATGACAGGAGGTTACAGTAAAGGGTTAACGTATTTAATATTGCATATCACAACGGCAGCGAGAATGGTATATGCCCAACAATGGAAGAATGAGAATATTCCTCTAGAAAGTGGGATAATAAAGAAAATATTAAGATTGTGCAGAATGTGATAGATTGCGAGACGTAAAAAACCAAGGAGAGAGAGAATGACTGGGAAAGACATGGTAACAAGGTCAGCCAATGAACAGGCATAGCAACTAAGTCAGCCAATGGGAGCTGAAACTGAGTCTGTGCAGAGAACTGAAACTGAAAGGAAGCTGGGCATGCCTATTTGCTCTGCTGAAATGAAACTAACTGTTCTCTCCTGCCTTGTGTTCTGCCTGTAACTTCTACTACGTTGAAAAATCAACTATTGGCACTGTAAGTACTTCGTCTGTTATTATGTATATAAAGAAATGAATGAATCCAGCTGAATCAATTATCTACAATGTGTGTCTTCTGAGTTTGATTTTGGCAAGAAACTCTGATAGATACTTGTGTTATATTTTAGTGTGTATGGCGGAGAAGATGCCAGGATGGTCACACCATGTCCAATTTCTTTTTTAATATGATATATATATATATATATATATTAGGCTAGAGTAGCTGTGCCCAGTTCCTGCAACCATTCATCGTATATTTTAGTCTCCTAATCAGTGGTGGGTTCCTCCCTGTTCGGCCCAGTTCTCCCGAGCTGGTAGCGGTGACGATATGATGTCACAGAACCAGTTCTGCCCCCCCACTCCCCCCGTGCCCCCCACCCACCCTGCGCCCCCAACCCCCGTGTTATTCTTACCTTTTATTTGGCCCCACCCCAATCTATTGCTGCCTCCTGAGTCCCAGCTGATGGCTAGAGGGAAACTTTAAACTCTTGCCCGGGGGCTTCAAAGGGCCGCCCTACAGCTGATCAGTGTTAAAAGAAAACAAATGAGTAGATGAGCGCCTGCACGAATACATGAGCAGACCAGTGCCTGCAAAAAATAAAAGGGTAGATTGGTACAGCTCTGCAAGGAATTAAAACGGAGCCTGGTAGACCAGTACCTCTGCTAAATCCTAAATAATTGTCACATGACCATCAAGCCACGCCCACAAAATAAGCCACGCCCACAGAACCGGTAGTAAAAAAAAATTAGAACCCACCCCTGCTCCTAATCATCCTGGTCGCTCTCCTCTGCTCTCCTTTCTAGAGTCTCAACATCTTTTGCAGAGTGCAGGTGACCAAAACGGGATGTAATATTCTAGGTGCGGTCTTACTAAGGCTTCCTAAGTTTCTTGGGAGTTCCCCTGGTGAGGGCTGGATTCGAACTCAGAAGAGGCGGGGTTGTGGGGGGGAGGGAAGCGTAGAGCTGTGGGCTTTGGGAGAGCAGAGGTTCAAGTCGTGGGGCTTTCCGGTGTCTGTTAGAGAAGAGGACAGCAGGAGAATTTCCATTCTCCCTCCTTTTCCCTCTTATACTGCTCTTTGTCTTTCTTCATCATCTCTTCCGTGTAACAAGGAGCATCCCCGTTCTTCTGCACCAGCTCATCAATCATGGTCATCAGCTGGGCCACCTGAGCCTCTCGTTCTTCTCCTGTGGCCTTGTTGTTGAAAGCCAGGTAGCGGTTCCCGCACTGGAACGCTTGCTCACAGAGAGAGGGGTCCTCGTGTATGAAGTCCTCCAGAGTTTTTCCTTCCATTTGGTCCTTACGGGTGAACAAGAGGATCATGTAATTCTTGGCCTTCAGGCTGAAGATCTCAGTGATCAACTGAGCCACGTCCTTCTCCTCCTGGGTGAAACGGTCGGGACGAATCACCTGCAGAATGACATGAGGACCCGGGGAACAAAACCTCAGGCATTTTTTCACTTCGGCAGCATTTTCCTTGGCCTTCTGGTTTCCTGTTGGTTTCAGGGTCGAAAAAGCCCGGGGTGTCAACCACCGCAACCGTCCGTCCCCTCCACCGCGTCTCCACCTTTCGGCAAGTCTTCGTGACTGAATGAGGGGACACCTCAAACGTGAAGACGTTCTCCCCCAGGATGGTGTTTCCCGTGGCGCTTTTCCCACTGCCGGTTTTGCCCACCAGGACGATTCTCCATTCGGGCCCTACCAACCCCAAAGAGGGAGGAGAAGAGAGGAGAGGAGAGAAGAAGGGGGGCCCGGTTAGCAGCGTACGGCCGGCCCATCCTAGTCTGCCCCTCCACCCCAGGACAGGGAGTCCCACCCCCACCCCCCCACCCAAGCAGGAGCCGAAGATTTTTACCTTGGATGCCTTCAGCCATGTCCAGAAGATTCACACAAGGAGCAAAATCTGGGGATTTCTGCCTGAAAAGCAAAAGCGAAAGAGAATCAGCCGAAGGAGAGGCTGTCACGCTGGGAGGCTGCCAGGACCTTCCCCACCCCCAGAAGACCCGGGGGAGGAATTGGAGGCGTCCTAAAAGAGGGTCACCCCCTCCTCACTGCCCTTGAGGCTTCCTCATCCCTCCCCCTCCTCCAAATGCTTTGGGGGCTTCAGGAAAAGTGGGCACATCGATCCCCAAACACAGTGCTAGAGGGGTCCTGCCCCCCTCCCGGATCCTCCCTGCAAGCTCTGGCCCGCCTCAATCAATCAGTCAATCGGAATAGAGCCGCAAGGGACCTCGGAGGTCATCTAGTCCAACCCCCAACTCAAGCAGAAGACCCTTGCAGAAGCATAGGAGGATAGAATTGAAAGGGACCTCGGAGGTCATCTAGTCCAACCCCCTTTTCAAGCAAGAGACCCTCACAGGACGGCAGAGTTGGAAGGGACCTCGGAGGTCATCTAGTCCAACCCCCAACTCAAGCAGGAGACCCTTGCAGAAGCATAGGAGGATAGAATTGAAAGGGACCTCGGAGGTCATCTAGTCCAACCCCCTGCCTTTTTTTTACCTCTGAGGGCTGCCCAATTGGAGCCCCCTCCCCCCCAAAACAACGGCCAGCCGTCTCTCCCACCTCTCAGCCACTGCTTCACCAGGTCTCAAAGCTCACCCAGCCTCCTTTTGAGGTTGGGCTCTTTTCGGGGACCTCTGCGCCCAAATCCCAGGGGCGCCTGCGGGAAAGAAGCAACTGGCGCTCCGGAGCAGCTGAGCCGGGGACGGGAGGGCAGAGAATCAGAAATGGTCTAGGGTCTCCTGCTTGAGCAGCGGGGTTGGACTAGATGACCGCCATGGTGCCTTCCAACTCTGGGAGTTCTAATAAGCTCGTCTTCCCAAGTCCCGGGGCTCAGAGAGGGCTTTCCTCAGCGAGGGTGGGGGGGAAGGCAGGCTCAGCCCCTGCAGTCTGCCGGACCCGAAGCCTTTCCTTCAATGCAGGGTCCCCTCCCCCCACTCTCCATTCATCCTTTCCGCACGACCCCGCCTCCTCCTACCTGCGGGAGGGTGATCGCTGGCGCCCCTCCCCGTTTTTTAGCCCCCGGAGATGAGGGGAGGGGAGGGGAGGCCGGCCAGAAACCCACCTGAGACCCTCCTCCGAGACGCAGCTGATGAAGGGTGGTGGTGGGTGGGGATTCCCTGCCAGCAAGGGAGCAAGGGGTTTCCCTCCTCTCTGGGAGACGCTAACGGGTGGGTGGGACAGCTGAGACCCTCATGTGAAGACCGGCAATCTTAGAGGGAGGAGGGGGGCTACAACGGGTGGAGATTTTAAACATTAGGGACCGGACAGCTGAATCTCTGAGCGTCCCGTCTTCCTACCGGCAGTTAGGAAAGGCACTTGGAAGCGGAGGAGGAAGAGAGCAACAAGGATGACACAGAAGCACCCCTGGGGGTTTTTTTGGGGGGGGGGAGAGATTCCAGGTAATTTGGGGAGGGGGCCTTGCTCCTTTTCTGTACTTATTGATGTGTTGGCAGACAAGGGGAAAACTGGAATCGAAAGCAGGGAGGCAGTGGTGGGTTCCAAAACTTTTTTTTTTTTGCTACCGGTTCTGTGGGTGTGGCTTGGTGGGCGTGGCAGGGGAAGGATACTGCAAAAACCCCATTTCCTCCTCACTCCAGGGGAAGGATACTGCAAAATCCCCATTCCCTCCGGATCAACTGGGAGGCAGAGAATAGATGGGGGCGGAGCCAGTCAGAATTTTTACTACCGGTTCTCCGAACTACTCAAAATTTCTGCTACCGGTTCTCAAGAACTGGTCAGAACCTGCTGAAACCCACCTCTGCAGGGAGGAGAGACCTTCTTCCAAATCTCCTCCACGGGACCCCCAATCCCGTCTCCACCCCCCTACTTCCCACCTTGCCTAGGAAGTTTCCCAGTGAGATTTCAAATTCTGGTCCTCCTGAAGGGATCAAGGCTTTTGTGTGGGGAGGGGAGGGATGGCAAGAAATGGGGGGGTGGGGTGTTCCTGCCACTCTTCTTTCTCCTTCCCTGAAAGCCGCTCCGGGACAGAGGCGGGGGAAACTTGGCTGAATCTCCAGCATGGAGGGCCCGCTTCCAGGAGGGGCGAAAGAGGAAGGGGGGAAGGGTGTGCTGAGGAAATTCCCAGCTTGGAGATCCGCACCAGGGGCCCTTATTCTCAAGGGAAGGAAACCAGTTCTCTGGATCCCCCTCTCCAGCCCCCGCCCCCCCTCCAGAAAAACATCCCCAATATCAAAACCCAAGCAGTCTTTTTTTGCTATGGGGAGACAGATTCCCAAGCCTGCCTCGCCCTCTGGTGGTGAAGAGAGGAACCGCGCCCTTTGCAACTCCCACCTAAAAGACCTGAAGGACAGAGGAGACTATTGATAATAGGAAAGGAAAGCCACTCCGCCCCTCTCCACCAGCCATCCATCCCTTTGAGAACCTGTGTTGCTGCCCCTGCCCCATTGCTCTGGGCAGTGGGGTCCAGTGGGGATACCAGGCTTTCAACAACAAGACAAAAGGGAGAAGAATGAGAGGCTCAGGAGGCCCAACGGAGGAAGACGATTGACGAATGCCTGTACGAGAATGGAGATTTTTATTTTATTTTATTTTATTTTATTTTATTATTTTATTTTATTTTATTTTATTTTATTTTATTATTTTATTTTATTTTATTTTATTTTATTTTATTTAGCTTATATGCCGCCCTAGTTCCAACGGACTCAGGGCAGCTCACAACAATAAAATCCACAAAACCATTGTACGGAGTTAAAATATCTGGTTAAACCGAATAAAATTTTAAAAAACCATAAAAACCCCATCAGTCCAGGCCTGGGAACTTGAATAACCAAGTTTTTAATTCGCGGCGGAAGGTGCGAAGGTCAGGAGCCAACCGGAGCTCCAAGGGGAGTCGATTCCAGAGGTGCTCCTTGTTACACAGACACAGGTGAACAGAGTTGGAAGGGACCTTGGAGGTCATCTAGTCCAAACCCCACCCAAGCAGGAGACCCCACCTAACCTATGGTACGCGTGCCGGAAGTGCACACAGAGCCATCTCTCCAGGCTTGTGGAGCCATTGTCCATTGCTCTTCTGGGTTCCGGTGCACCACCCAGGTGGTCTTCACGAGAGTGGGAGCGCCAGAAACTGAAACAGCTGTCACCCGGTGCACCTGGCCAGCTCAGGCACCTAGAAGAGCAGGAGCAGCAGCGCTGGTTGTTCTCGGTGGCGGGCAAGGGGGAGTCACCCTGCTGCTTGCTGCTGGGATGTTGGAGGAGGACTCCCTGTTCCAGCCACTGAGAACAAGCAGTGCTGGCACAGGAGTGGGGTCCGTACCGAAGGAACATCTGTCCTGCACCAGGGTAAGACACACCGGCTGGGAAGCGGGTGTGCTCCCTTGGCAGAAGGGCCGGAGGGGGGACTGCGCTAGCTTATTCTCTGTGGCGGGCTGTGGGGGCACTTCATTGACACTCTCCTGGGTTCTGGCAGCGCCCTTCCCTGTGGCCCGTTTTTGGTCCCAGAAGACTTCAGGGAGTTTGCCAGGCCCAAAATGGGCGGGAGGGGGTCATGCACACATGTGTGTGGGGGCAGGGCCCGCGTGAGGCATTACACTATGGGTGTGGGTACCCACACGTGCAACATTCCCCCCACACTCCTACCCCTTTTGGCACGCAACGGCAAAAAGGTTAGCCATCACTGCCCTCCACCATTTCTGACAGAGGGCAGCCCAATCTCGTCTTGAAAGCCTCCAGTGATGAAGCTCCCACAACTTCTGTTCCACGGGTTGATTGTTCTCACTGTCAGGAAATTCCTCCTTATTTCCAGGTTGAATCTCTCCTTGTTCAGTTTCCATCCATTCTTCCTTGTCTGGCCTTCAGGAGTGCTGCCGTGGCCTAGAGGTGGAGCTCTCGCCTCACAATCAGGAGGGTGTAAGTTCAATCCTAGGTAGAAGGCAGATATTTCTCTCTCTGGGAATGTATCTGCTGAACAAAATTCCACATTGGCAACAGGAAGGGCATCCAGCCAGTAAAACACTCAGCTCCATTCAGTTGCCCAGACTCCACCCTGCAAGGGATTATGGGGACGTTCAAAGAGGAAGATGATGGTTTCTTGTATGGCCTTCGGGTGCCTTGGAAAATAGCTTGACCCCCACCCACCCCCCACTCTGTGGCAACCCCTCAAATATTGGAAGGCTGCTATCCTGTCTCCCCTGGTCCTTCTCTTCACTGGACTAGCCATGCCCAGTTCTGGCAACCATTCTTTGTATGTTTTAGCCTCCAGTCCCCTCATCATCCTGGTTGCTCTTCTCTGCACTCTCTCTACAATCTCATCCTGCAAGGGAGGATTTTTTTCATTTATTTTTTTTACAAAAGTCACCTTGTGGCCTGTCTCCCTGGAGCTCCAAGGGGGAGGGGGCTCCAGGAATTAAGGTTCTTTGGGCCCTTCTGGGGGCCTTTCGGAGTTTGAGCTGAGCCCTTCCAAGTTGGGTCTGGTTCTTCTCTGCTTCACCCCTGCCTCTCCCAGCCACCCTTGCAAAGGGGGTCTGGCCCCCCATCTCCCCCCCGTGTAATTAAGAGGCAGCAGACTAGGAAGGGGAGTTGCAACTGGGTGTTGCCCGTAGGTACATCCAGGGCCAGGGAAACCCATTGGGGGAGGGACCCATGGCCTCCTTCCAGGCTGCTGGAGAGTGCTCCTTCCCGGACATGCCGTGAGTGTTGCAGACAACTATGTATGGGAGAAGTCTAGATGATCTCAAGAGGTCCCTCTGACTCATCCATCCTCTCTTCTGTTGTGCCCCACCAGCGGCCAGCAAAGCTGGCGGCAGACTCGGACAATGAGGAGTTTTAGAAGGAACTTGGGCCAGTTCTGGAGTCTGGGGAAGGCTCTGATGGATGCTCTCCATCGGACACAGAGATAGAGCCAGGGCCATCCGACATTTCCCAGCCACCGGATAGGCAGCTGCCTTTGGAGGCCGAGATGAGTGAGGAGGAAGAACAGCTGGGGCCTGTTCCAGATGCGCGTATGCGCAGAGCTGTTAGGAGAGGAGAACAACTGAGGACAAGGAGCCGACTCGGGAAGAAAGACACACGCGGATGCCGAATGGCCCCTCCCTGGCTGGGGAATAAATAGAAGGAAAGGGGTGTGGTGGTCGTAGGAGACAACCGTTCGGATTTCTGATGATTTTGCTCAGTGTTTCGTGCTTGCCAGAACTTAATTTGCAGCGTTTCGGCTGGGAGTCACGGCCTTGCCATTATCACAAGGAACTGATAAGGTCTGTTGATGCGTTTAACTCCTTGAAGAACTATTGCCTGGACTTTTCGGTGGGTGAATGCCGCTAATTCACAAGAGTCTACCCAGTGCAGAGGAAACATGCCAGCAGTTTGGGGAGTGGCATCAAGCTGGCCACACCCACCCAACAGGCCACACTCACCCAGCCTCTCCCCCCCCCCCCCCGAGGTTAACCACAGACCTGAAGTGGCCCTCAAATGCTTTAAATGATTCAATCCCGTTGTTTTTTTGATGTTAGGGTAACTCTTGTCCCGCAACAAGTTGTCCGGCGGCAAGTTGGCTGTGTTGAGTTGACCACAGTGAATTGTCATGGGCTCAATCCAAGGTGGTTAGCCAAGCAAGCCCAGTGCCTGCAGAGAGCGGGGGGGGCAGGATGGGGGAGGGGAAAGCCACTATGGGGACTCCAAGGGATTGTAAGTGAGCGTGAGAAATCTCAGTGGGTGCGGGGGAGGCCTTGGGTGGTGGGACTCAGTTGTCCTGTTCCAGCACTAGCCAAACCCCCCATGATCTTCCCCACCCTGAGATTCCTGATGTGGTTTTTACACGATTGTCGAGTGACACCAGCCGGCTCTGACTGAGAGGCAGAATGCTCCGTCGGCCCGATCCACCAAAAAGCAGCAATGAGACAACGAACAGAAGGCAAAAAACGTTTTATTCAACGGAGAAAGAGGCTCCAGCCGCTGGGAGGAGGAAGAATTAAGGTGCATCATCGCCCAAGCACAACCGTTTGCAGCTGGCGGGAGGGGACCCCCCCCCCATATCCCCAAGCAGGCCAGATCCCCCCTCCAGTACTTTGCCGCCTCCATGGAAAGGGGGGGGGCTGAATCATCCAGGAGTCTGTCGTTGGTGCAGTGAGAGGCTGTGCGAAGGTTTTCAGGAGGGGGCATCCTGGGAGGAGTGGGAGAGCGGGGGCAAGGCCTCGGTAGAGTTGAACAGGAAATGAAACAACCCCCCCCCCAAAAAAGCATATCCTTTCATTTGCCATGAAATTTTCCTTTCTGGTGGTAGAAGCGAACAAATACAATTCAGGATTGAGCTGCGGGCTCTGCTGTTCTCGGAACACGTACTACGGACCACAACAGTCCCCAACTGCCTGTTGAACTGGTCCCAGTGACCACCAGTGGCATCCTCTGGGGATTCCCTTTGGGGGGGGCAGGGGACTAGTCCCCGGATGAGACTTGCTCCGCCGAGACAGCAGCCCCGTAGCTGTGACGACTCAAGAGAGAACGCCACTCTCTCAATATGGCCGGGAGGTGCATCGCACATACGCATGTACCGGTCATCACTATCGCAAGATTTTCCTGGGGTGTGGCAGTTGATTCCCTGACAAAAACAGCAGAATTTTGCATATCTCCCTCACCCCAAATTTGGCAGGGCAAAAACAGGGTTCCCCCCCAATGGGCCACCTGGTGACAGCCGCCCCCGAACTAAGAGAAGAGCCCCTTCTCGGCCCCTGTCCTGCTAACCCAGAGGCTGGCCGCCTCCTCTCACCGGCCAAATGGCTGGAAGATCAAAGCTCACTGGAGGCATGTGGGGGGGGGGGCTTTGCTTCCTCTTGTCCCCCATCCCAGCCATTAGAAAGAGGGAGAGATGCCAGGCTCAGGCCTCACAAATACGCCAAGGGAGAAATGGCCAAGCTAAATTTAACAGGGTTGATCTCTAGTGGTTTGGCCCCTGTACTGACGGCCTTAAGAATGGGGCGTGCCTCCCCCACCCTGAGTGGGGGGGGGGCATGCCTTGAGAGGGATTTTTTTTTTAATCTTATTTTATTTTATTCTATTTCTATGACGCGCAACCATAGGGTGACTTTGGGTGGTGACTGAGAGAGAGAGATTGCCGCTCTCCCAATGCAGAAATGGAATGGGTTCCCGGGAGAGTCGGGGATGAGGACGAAGGGGAGAGCATGACATGGGGACCCCCACATCTGGGGCCAAGGATGGAGGGAGGGGCCCAGATTCTGGAATGCCACAATTTATAGCAGGGGTGGTCATTTACGGGCTATTGTTATGGTGCCGCAGCCAGGACTGACTGGCCAAAATTCAGGTTTGGGTGGGGGACGGCGACACAGCAAGGGGGGACCCCAGAGATCGCTTGGCCCCAAGCCTGCCTTGAAACAGCCACTGGAACGACTCCGAAGAGCCAAAAAAAAAAAAAATCTCAGGTGGATGACCTCACATCCTGGTCCCAAAGCCTTACAGAGTGATCGAACATTCCCCCTGGGAAAAATCGGCAGGGAAATCCTTATTCCTTGGCAGTTTGGTGCAGAAATTCTGCAGAGTGATTTGCTCTGGGGGCTGCAGGAATGTTGTGGGTGGCTGGGCATGCATGAGGGAGGGAGATAAAATGAGGAGGGAGGGTGGAACGAAGGGAGGGAAGGGGAGGAAAAGGGGGCGGGAGGAAGAGGATGGAAGGATAACAGAGGGAGGGAGGGAGGGAGGGAAGTGGGAAGGAAGAAAAAGGGGAGGGAGGAAGAGGAGGGAAGGAGAAAAGGAAGGAAAAGAGGAGAGGGAGGAAAAGGGGGAGGAAGAGAGGGAGGAAGATGGGAAGGAAGGAAAGGGGGAGGGAGGGAGGAGGGAGGAAAAGGGGGAAGGGAGAGAGCAAGGCAGATGGGAAGGAAGGAAAAGACGGGGAGGGAGGAATGTGGGAAGGAAGGAAGGAAAACAGAAAAAAGGAAAAGAAAAAGAGAGGAAGGGAGGGCAGGAGGGAAGGAAGGAAAAGAATAAAAGTAGAAAGAAAAAGAAAGCAAGAGAGTGAGAGTGAGCCAGAGAGAAAGGAAGGCAGGCCGGAACGGAAAGAGGAGAAAAAGAGAAAGGAAGGAAGGAAGCAAAAGAAAAGAGAGAGAGAGAAGGAGGGAGGGAAGGAAGGAAGAAAAAAGAAAAAGAGGGAATAAGAGGGGGAGGGAATAAAGGAAGGAAAAGAGAAAGAGAAGGAAGAGAAAAAAGAGAGAGTGAAGGAGAAAGAACACAGTCCAGCACAGCCCTTGTCCTGCCCACCCCACTCCCAGAGCCCCTTCTCTCACCTCTCTGCTAGGAGACCTTCGGATATCGCAGCCGCGCACCCCAGACAGACCCCTTGGCAAGGCAGCCACCTTCTTCCCACTGGGGTGACCCAGTGCTCAACAACAACAGCTCTCCCTTTGCATGCCAGGATGCGACACCTCCTTGGCATGTCCGCTTCGCCCATGCTTGGACCGCAAAAGCAGCAGGGACCGGTGTGCAGTGTGTGTGTGTGTGTGTTAGTGGTCCCCTGGGTCAGAAATCCAAGATGCGGTGACTCCGCCGTAGTTCAACAGGTCCAGCTCAACCAGGAGTGCTTGAAAGCCTCTGAAACAGGCCAAACGTGGTAACAATCAACAGGAACAGCAAAACCCGCCGAGCAGCGGGGAGCCCCAAGGCACAACAGCGAGAGAGCCGAGGCCTGGCTGGACAGCGAAGGGAGGCAGTGCAGGGAGGGGTCTTCTCCGCGGACAGAACTCGCAGGGGAAGGGGAGGGGGGTCTTTGGGAACACAGCTCCTCCAAGTTGGGAGTTTCCCTCCCCGCTTCTCCATGGACGCTGATCTTCCAAGAGACCTCTCTTTGCCAGATCCACGTCAGTGACGGTACTGCACTGCCGGTGCGAGTACGGAGCGCTCAGGGACTTTTCCGTCGGGCACGGATCTCCAGTGGGTTCCTCTTTCCTTGGTGGATTCTCACATGTTCGAGCGACCCAAAAATGCCAGCATGTTCCAGCTAGTTCCACAACGTAGTTGTCAACTGAAGTATTTCTACGGTCCCCGGCACATCATGCCACACGCCACAGGTTCAAATCTGCAGGGAACGAAATGTGCGATTCCCTTTGTTCACGGCACATGCCACGGGTTCAAATGCCAGGGCCCCAGATGCTCGAGGAACTGCCGATCCCTTGCCTGCTTTTTCTGATGAGAGGGGACGAGCCACGGAGGCTGCAGAGGAAGCCCTTCAACTTGGGGCTTGGGCCGAGGCGTCAGATTCCTGGGAGAGTTTCCAGCGGATGGAAGTGGGGAGCTTCGGCCCAAGTCCCAAGTCGAAGGGCTTCCTCAGGGAACGACTTCCACAGGAAACGACTTCCAAGGAGGCTTGCCGTTGCAAACTCAGAGCCGGCTGATCCAACGGCTATCCCGAGCCTCCTTTCCCCAGGTCCCGGACTCTTTGGCACAGCTCTAACCCTGCTCTCTCTCACCAGGCTGGTGGCGCGATTCTGCTACGGTTGGCATTCTGCAGATTTGGGAGATTTGGATTTCGGTTTTCTGTCAGAAAGAGACAAAAATGGAATGCAAAATGTGGAGATGGGGGGATGCGGGACTTGATCCAGGACCCAGCGGGAGATTAATGGCTCAAAAAAAAAAAAAAAAAGAAAGAAAAAGAAAAAAGAGGTACAAAAATGCAGAAATATGGAAAGCACCCTGTGTCTTGTAGTTTTTTGTCAGTTCGAGGTCCCGATATGTGGAAAGGGACTTGTTGGAGAACGTAAAAAGGTCTTTTCCAGTATGTCCCTCGAGCGACCAGATCCGGGATGGGGAGGAGGCTGTAATTTCTCCTTGGCCACCTGCACATTGTCCCTTCTCAGGCCCGCTGTCCACCACCGCTCCGAACGCTCAGCCCCTGCAGGACACTCTCTCGGCCTGTCCTCAGCTGAGGGTCTCCCGTTCCCGGTGACTCCGGCGATGGGCCGCCAGGTTGCCTTTCTGCGAAAAGTTCTTCCCGCACGTCAGGCACTGGAAGGGGGTGTCCCCCCTGCGGAGCCTTGGTTTTGGGCCTTTGGGGGTCTCCTCCTTGGTTTGCCGGGTCCTCGGGGAGCCAGCAAGGCCACTTCGGCCTCCCAAGGGTTCCCTGGAACCCCGACGGGCAAAGGCGCTTCGGGTTTGGGGGGGCTTCTCTTGATGTTTGATCCTCAGCCGGCGCCGTGTGAAATCTTCCTCGCCCTCCTCATCGACATGCACTGCTTGGCCTCCCGGGCTGTCCTGCTCCTGCTCCTCCTGCTGCTCGCAGTCTCTTTTTTGGTGAGCGGCGAGCAGCCGTTCTTCCCGGAAGTTCTTCCCACAGGCTGGGCAGGCAAAAGGGCGGCGGGCTGGGCTGCCATGCACCCGTTGATGGGTGAGCAGGTTCTGCTTGAGGCTGAAGCGTTTCCCGCAGACACTGCAGCCAAAGGGCTTCTCGCCAGTGTGGATGCGCTGGTGGATGATGAGGTTGTGTTTGAGGCTGAAGCCCCGGCCGCACTCAGGACACACGAAGGCCCGTTCGCCGGCGTGCTGCTGCTTCTGGTGGCGCAGCAGGCCCAGTGGCTGGCTGAAGCTCTCACCGCACATGGCACATTTATGCTCCTCTTCCTCCACCTGGCTGTGAATGACCAGACCATTCTCGTCCCCCGAGCTCTCCTCCCAGGCCGGGAAAGGAAACGGCTTCTCCCCCGGAGGGGAACTTTGGCGGGTCCGCCCCGCCACTGGCTCTTGGTCCGCCCCGTCCATGGGGACACCTGTTTCTGCGGAGAAAACAAACAAAGAGCTTCAAAGAGAGGTAAGCAAGAGACACATCGCGACCCCGATTTATGCCAATTCGTTCATTTTCTGCCCGTGTCAAGGTGGCTTGCGAAAAATTAAACCACCATAAAACGACTATTCCCAATAATGATCTCTTAAAGTCGAGGTATCCCACCTTGGCAACTTTGGAGACTTGGGGACTTGAACATCAAGCTTTGCGAGCTGCGGAATTCTGGGAGTTGAAGTCCCCAAGTCTTAAAGCTGCCAAGGTTGGACATCCGTGCACTATGGGGGGGACCGGGTTCAAATTGCTATTCGTCTCTATTTAATTCTTATTCAGTTTAATTTGATTATCTCTCTCTCTCTCTTTCATATCTACTTTCTGTCTAGATATGAGAGAGAGAGAGAATCAAATTAAACTGAATAAGAATCCACCTATCTCTATCTTCTATCTGCTAATCTTATACCTCTACTATCTACCTACCTATAAAATCTATCATCTGTCTATATATCCATTATCTATGTATATTATCTATCTATCTATCTATCATCTATCTAACTGTCTATCTAATATATCAATTTATCAATCAATCTATCATATCAATCAATCAATCAACCTACCTACCACTGGTGAGTTGTCCCGTTTGGACCAGCACGCAAGAACCAGTAGTAAAAGCGGCAGGAGGCTCCGCCCACTGACTTCATCGCAGCTGATATGCACATGGGCAGAAGAGTGCGGGCGCGCGCAAGCAAAGAGGGCGTGTGCGCATGGGCGTGATGATGTGAACCAGTAATAAAAGTAAGTAGAACCCACCCCTGCTACCTACCTATATAATCTATCATCTGTCTATATGTCCATCTATCTATCGTCTACCTCAGTGGTGGGTTTCAAAATTTTTACTACCAGTTCTGTGGGTGCAGCTTGGTGGGCGTGGCATCGCTTGGTGGGCAGGCTTGGTGGGTGTGGCAGGCGAAGGATACTGTAAAATCTCCATTCCCACCCCACTCTAGGGGAAGGTTACTGCAAAATCCTCATTTCCTCCCAATCAGCTGGGACTCGGGAGGCAGAGAATAGATTGGGGCGGGGCCAGTCAGAATTTTTACTACCGGTTCTCCAAACTACTCAAAATTTCCACTACTGGTTCTCCAGAACTGGTCAGAACCTGCTGAAACCCACCTCTGATCTACCTACCGTATTTTTTAGAGTATAAGACACACTTTTTCTCCCCTTAGAAGAGGGTGAAAATTTGGGTGGTCTTATACACCAAATGTAGCCAAAAACACAAGGTGCGGAGGAGGCGATGGTCTGTGGCAATCCCTGCAGCCTGGAACAGCTGATTGGAGGTATTCTAGGAGGCCTATCGACCTGCCAATCAGCTGCTCGTGCTGAATCAGGCTGCAATAATGTGCTGAAGCTGACCTGGCTGTTTGCTATTTGCTGCAAGGACTGTCAGAGTTTGCAGCAACAATCACATCCAGAAAACACACACAAGTAACTAATTCAGCAGGTTTCAATAACTTCTCTTTATATATAATATAACACATGAAGTAAATATACAATACCAAAAGCAGGTTTTCCAACCTGGTAGTAAATACAAGCAAAACACAAGCAGAGGAGAGGAGTTTCAGTTTTAGTTTCAGAGATCAGCAGAGCATGCAGCTTTGGAACAGTTGAGCTAAGCCACGCCCAGGATCCCTGCTGTCTCCTTCCTTGTTGCCCACACAGTTTCAGTTTCCCAACAGCCCTCAACTCTCTCACACACTAACAGGATGCTAGCCAGATGAATACCGACCGATGCTGGTAGGCAGAGGCAGAATTTTATTATTTTTCTCCCCAAAAACTAAGGTGCGTCCTATACTCCAAAAAATACGGTATATCATCTCTCTCTCTCTCTCTCTAATCTATCTATCATCTATATCTATCAATCAATCATATCTATCTATCTATCAATCATATCTACCTATCTATCACTATTTGTCTATCTGTTTTCTCTCTCTTCAAACATCCATCCCTATGTTCTGTCTGCTAATCTCTTCCATGTATCAGTGACTCGGGGACACTGCAACCGTCATAAATACGAGTCAGTTGCCAAATATGAGTCAGTTGCCAGCTGAATTTGATCACGTGACCATGGGGATGCTGCAACCGTTGTAAGTATGAAAAATGGTCCAGTCACTTTTTTTCAGTGCCGTTGTTGTAACTTTGAATGGTTCTAAATCAAGGACTGGCTATAATCTTGAAGGTAACCACTTTAAGACTTCTGGGATTTCAACTCCCAGAATTCCCCAGCCAGCAAAGGGGGAGGGGGAATGGGACAAAACTTACTTAGGCTTGTCTGCTTAGCAATAGAAATTTTGGGCCCAATTGTGGTTGTAACTCGAGGACTACTGGAATTTAATTTATTGTTTTATCTATTATTTTATTTGTTTTCTTATTTATTTTATTTATTTAATATTTTATTTTATTTACTATTTTAGTTTTTATATATTTTATTTTATATTTTACTTCATTTTTTTTATTTTATGTTATGTTATTTTATGCTATTTTATTTTGTTACTTTATTTTATGTTGTTTTATTTTACTTTATTTTACCCTGTTGTTTTCTTGTTTTATGCTATTTCGTTCCTTTGCTACTTTATTTTATTTCATTTTATTATTTCTTCCCCAACAAACCTGAATATAGAATATAAAATAGGGTATAAAATAGAATATAAAGTAGAATACGAAATAGAATGGAATGGAATATAAAATAGAGTATAAAATAGAATAGAGCAGACAGTTTATTAAGTGAGTTTTGTCCCATTCCTCCTCCCCCTTTGCTTGCTGGGGAATTCTGGGAGTTGAAGTCCCCCAAGTCTCAAAGTGGCCAAAGCCCCCTTCTCTGCTGGCAATCCTCAACTAACAAACATTAATTTAGCAACCATTCCAAGTTACAACGGCCCCGGGGGGGGGCAGGGCGGAGAGGACCATTTCACTTATTGACGACCGACGCAGCTTCCCAGCTATCATGCGATTTACATTCGGACGCGCGACAGACTCATACTTATGACGGGTGGCCGCAGGGTCCCATGATCCCCTTACTTTATTTAAAAAGTAAAATAAAATAATAAAGAAAGAAGGGAAGAGAATGTAGAAGAGAAATAGAAATTGGAATAGAACTTAGAAAATAGAATACAATAAAAAATAGCCTATAAAAGAGAACAGAATGTAGAATACAAAATAGAATATAAAATAGGATAGAATATAAAATAGGATAGAATATAAAAGAATAGAATAGAATAGAATAGAATAGAATAGAATAGAATAGAATAGAATAGAATAGAATAGAATAGAATAGAATAGAATAGAATAGAATAGAGAATTTGGCTTTCATTCAAATGCTCAACCATTAAAGAGGATAATTACCGGAAACTACTTGGTCAAACTAAAGAAATGCTGGAAGGATGGAAAGGATTAGTTATCATTACTAGGTAGAATTGCAGTAGTCAAGACATATATCTCGCCTAAATGGGTTTTTCTCTTTCAGACAGCTCCAGTTTTATTAGATACAAAAAATTTTCAATCTTTAGATCAATGTATATGTAGATTTGTATGGCAGAACAAAAAACCAAGGATTAAATTGAAAATGCTTCAAGAACCCCCTTCCAGGGGCGGATTTGGCCTACCTAAATGGGAGTTTTATCATCAAGCAGCTGTCTTAAATTGGGTCAGAGACTGGATTGCTTTGAGGAGGAGGAGGAGAATCCTTATTCTGGAAGGCCACAGTTTGCAACAGGGGTGGCATTATTATCTGAGTCAGGAAAGGCCCCCAAAACATAAATATTTTATGGACCACTTCATCCAAAAGGTTTTAATGACTATTTGGGATCAAATAAGAAATAAATATTACCAGGTGACTCCGATTTGGCTTTCCCCTCTAGAGGAAAACCTCGAAATACGCTGGTGGAATTAGGCTATGAGTTAGATTGGTGGATATACAATCCGATCCAATCCAGGACAGCTCAGGACAAAAACAAGGGAGGAATCTATAATTCCCTACAAGAACTTGATAAGATCTTGTTGAGAGGGCGGCCGCTGGCGCTTTGGACCGAGTCGTGCCTTTGCGGCCTCTGACCCGGCGCCGATCTCAATTGGCTCCTTGGTTCTCTGAGGAGCTGAGAGAGATGAAGCGCCGGAAAAGACGCCTGGAGAGCGGTTGGAGGGCCAGCCGTTCCGAATCTGACTGAACAGTGGTGAGGTCTCATATTAAGACCTACCTAGTGGTGATCAGAGCGGCGAAGTCTAGCTACTTTTCCACTCTGATTGCGTCTGCAGATAATCGCCCAGCCGCCATGTTCAGGGTGACCCGCTCCCTTCTCCATCTGGGAGCGCGGGAAGACCCCTTGCAGGGCAGGGCTGAGGATTTTGTGCAGTATCTACATGACAAAATCGCTGGGATTCGGGAGGGTTTGGACTCCGACTGGGTAGATCCAGATGGGGTGATGGAGGTGGGTCTTGAGAATGTTAGCTGGGAGAAGTTTGACCTTGTGACTCCCGAGGACGTGGACAGGGTTCTGGGTAGGTTGAATGCAGCCACATGTTTATTGGACCCGTGTCCCTCCTAGTTGGTGCTGGCTTCCCGGGAGGTTACACGAGGCTGGCTCCAGGGGATTGTCAACGCTTGAGTGAGGGTTTCTTTCTTTCTCGCCACCTTGAAAGAGGCGGTGGTGAGGCCCCTCCTCAAGAAGCCTTCTCTGGACCCAGCTGTTTTATCAAACTATCGTCCAGTTTCCAACCTTCGCTTTGTGGCGAAGGTTGTTGAGAGTGTGGTGGCACGACAGCTTCCCCAGTACCTGGATGAAGCAGACTATCTAGATCCGTTCCAGTCAGGCTTCAGGCCTGGGTATAGCACCGAAACGGCATTGGTCGCATTGATTGATCTCTGGAGGGCTCGGGACAGGGGTTGTTCCTCTGTCCTGGTCCTATTAGATCTCTCAGGGCTTTTGATACCATTGACCATGG